TTGTTCTCGCGTTCAGCGTTATTCAAATACTTTAAAGAAGTAACATTGCAAACATTCACAAAAATAAATCTAAATAACTTGTTCATCGGGTTTTCCATGGGCTCGTTGCACCACTCTCCATCTTTTCCATCATCCAGGCCCAAGGTAGAATCATCTCAATTTGTAAAGAAGGGGCTAAACCCGTGAGTTAAAGAAACTCAATAGATATCATTGGTGCGTTCGTGATCAAGCTATATATTTCAAAGCTGTAACTTTAGAAACCTTTTCATAGTAGGATTTCCGGTAGAATCCCAAACACGTAGAGTCATGACTTAACACGACGCCTCGACCGGAAGTACATGCCGTACCCGGAGGTACCATTAGACATGGAGGTGTATGCCATACCGGAGGTACCATTAGACATACAAACATTAACATAAATCTTCATTTGTTAGAAACTTATAAATTAACACGAATTAACACTTTACACCTCTACCTACCTTGATTGATGCTTTGAACCTTGTTGAAAAATGCACTCCTTTGACGTTTCAAAAAAAAAAACACTCTGCTGAAAATTGATGCTTGGAAAACACTTCTTGATAGCACCAAAACTTCTAGGAAAAACTAATTTTTCTCCCTCTCATTTCTCTTTTTTCTAGACTTGAAAACTCTCTCTTTTATGCTTAGAAGCTTTTGTCTTGGTGTGAAAAATGTGTATGCATTGGGGCCTATTTATAGGTGAAAATCTCACAACTTAAGGGCAAATGAAGGGCCTAATACTCATTAATATGGGTGCCATTTATGTGGGAGTTATAGATTTAAGAAGGTGCTAGAAAATTGTGTAGGAATTTGACTTTTCATATTCCACGTACTTCGGTTGATATTGTAAAGCTTTTAGTATTTCTATCATAACTTCTTATCCCGTTATCCAATTGAGGTAATTCAAAGTGCGTTGGAAAGCTAACTCAAAGAACTACAACTTTTATTTAGATATCATTTTCCAAATCGAATGTTTTCTATGTCATAAATGGGTCTCAAATGAGACTAAAAATCTGAAGTATACTTTAACCATCCAATATTCATGTCTTAGTGCCACTAAGGTGTTTAAAATTATTTGGGGTTCTACATAGGCAGTTTTTTGGTGCATGGTGTGCAGGCAATGTTCGGGACGCGTCTAGGTCACGGCAGGGATGCAACCTAATTTCAAGGCATTTTTAGGTAGTTTTTGGGACACAGCGTGCAAGCCACGTCCATGACACGTCAGGGATGCAGCTTGATTTTCAAGCATTTCTTGGCAATTTCTGGAACACGGTGTGTGGGCCATAAACGGGACGCCTTTGGGCGACGGCAGGGATGTAGCCTGATTTTCAGGGATTTTTGAGAAGTTTTTGGGCACGATATGCAGGCCATGTATAGGACATGTCCTGACCGCGGTAAGAAAGTTGCCTGATTTTCAGGCATTTGTATGCAGTTTGTGGGCATAGTGTGCAGGCCATATCCAGGATGCGTTCTTGTCGCGGTAGGGAGTAGCCCGATTTTTAGGCATTTCTTGGTATTTTCTGGGACTCGATGTCCAGGCCATGTCTGGGATGCATCATGGCCACAGTAGGGATGGAGCCTGATTTTCAAGCAATTATGGGCAGTTTCTAGGACACGGCGTGCAAGGCATGTTGAGGATGCAGCAGGGACGCATCCTGACTTTGAGGTATTTTTAGGCTGTTTTTGGAACATAGTGTGCAGGAAATGTTCAGGATGCATCTTGGCTACGGCAGGGATACAGTCTGGTTTCTAGGCGTTTCTAGGCGGTTTCTGGGATACGGTGTTAGGCCATGTCTAGGATACTGCAGGGACACATCCTGATTTTCATGTATTTCTAGGCAATTTCTTGAACACGGTGAGCAAGCAATTTTCGGGACGCGTCGGGGCTGCTGCAGGGATGCAGCCTAATTTCCAGGCATTTTTTGGCAGTTTCTAGGACACGGTGTGCAGGCCATGTCCAGGACGCGACTGGGATGTAGCATGATTTACTGGCACTTCTAGACAGTTTTTGGGATACGGTGTGCAGGCCTTGACCGAGACGCGTCCGGGCCACGTCAGGGACGCAGCTTGATTTTCAGGCATTTCTAGGAATTTTTTGGGCACGGTGTGTAGGCCACGTCCGGGGCGTGTCCTAACCGTAGTAGGGACGCATCCTAATTTTCTGGTCTTTGTAGGCAGTTTGTGGGCACGGTGTGCAGGCCATATCCGGGACGCATCCTGGCCTCGGTTGGGACGCAGCCTAATTTTTAGGCATTTCTTGGCAATTTCTAGGACTCGGAGTGCAGGCCATGTTCGGGACGTCTCATGGCCATGGTAGGGACGGAGCCTAATTTTCAGGCGATTCTGGGCAGTTTTTGGGATGCAGTGTGCTGGCCATGTCCAGGATGTGGCAGGAACGCATCCTGAATTTTAGGTATTTTTAGGTAGTTTCTGGAACACGGTGTGCAGGCAATGTTTGGGATGCATCTGGGCTGTGGCAAGGATGCAGCCTAGTTTATAGGCATTTCTAGGCAATTTTTGGGACACGGTGTGCAGGCCATGTCCAGGATGCTACAGGCACACATCTAGATTTTCATGTATTTCTAGGCAATTTCTTAGACACGATATGCAGGCAATTTTCAAGACGTGTCGGTGCTGCTGCAGGGATGTAGCCTAATTTTCAGGCATTTATAGGCAGTTTCTAGGACATGATGTACAGGTCATGGCGGGGACGCGTCCGAGCCACGGCAGGGACGCAGCTTGATTTTCAAGCATTTCTGGGAAGTTTTTGGACACGGTGTGCAGGCCACATTCGGGATGCATCGTGGCCAAGGCATGGATGGAGCTTGATTTTCAGGCAATTCTGGGCAGTTTCTAGGACACGGTGTGCAAGCCATGTCTAGGATGCCACGGACGCATCCAAACTTTCAGGTATTTTTAGGCAGTTTCTGGAACACGGTGTTCAGGCAATGTTCGGGACACGTCTGGGCCATGGTAGGGATGCAGCCTAGTTTCCAGGCAGTTTTTGGGACACGGTGTACAGGCCATGTCGAAGATGCTTCAGGGACACACAAATATTTTCACGTATTTCTAGGCAATTTTTTGGATACAATGTGCAGGCCTTGTCCAAGACGCGTCCAGGCTACGGCAGGGACACAGCCTGATTTTCAGGCATTTCTGAGAAGTTTTTGGGTACGGTGTGCAGGCCGTGTCCTAGAAGCAGCCTGAACTAACGCCCTATATTTATAAGGTCAAAAATAAAAGTTATAATTGGAATAAAATAGATCTTTTAAACTAAGTAAGACTTATATATGTATCATGATAGTACTAAATAATCAGAAATAATTTTCTTATTATTTTACAACACTCCCTATTGGGTGATTATTTGTACAATAACCATCTCATTGAAACCATGTTTGACAAAAAAATCCTATGGGACAAAAATGCCAACAAATTAAAAAAGAGACAAATAAATTGGAGTAATAAAATGATGTTTCGTTAAAACATTGTCAAGAAAATCCAGTGAGATAAAACTTGATCGAAGGAAAAAGGGTACAGTTACTCCCCTGATTTTAATTCTTATATCAAGTTATTCATGTCTCGTACATCAATGTCTTCAATATTACAATTTCTGGTGAAGCATCGCGTTGTCTTGCATAGTCTTTAAATAACACCGTCTTTATAAGAGATATTTTATCAATATTTGATAACTGTAGTGATATGATAATTTAAAAAATAGCTCTTGTTGATAATCAAATAGGGGATTAAATAGAATGATTTTTTAATAAATATTTCTTCTTGTTAGAAGATCATCTTACACGAACTTCCCCAAAAAAAAAAAGATTCAATATGATTTTCTCAAAAAGCTCTTTTTAGAAGAATCAGAAGTAAAAGTCGAAGCAGAAATTACCCCAAATATATCCTAACCCGGTTAGTTAAAACTACGATAGTGTTCCGTGATCGTTAAACCTCGAAGGATTGTTGATATGGCACTTTATTTGATTGAAATTTTATTATGAATTCGGTGACTAATCAACAATAAAAATCGTAAAAATTAATTATTATATTTGATGTCGAGCTTCTCACGAAAATGTTCTCAAAACAGTCAAAACACGAGGATTAAAAGATCTTTCTAAATTAATTACAATTGACGCGATTACAGTGGTACTTAGTACCGTGCTTACGTTTGAAGCAACAATGCATTAATGTTTCATTCCCAATTAATGCAGAAAATATGTTAAAGTTGGGAAAATCTTTTGTCAAATTTTCATTTAGCACATGTTATGTACAAGTTTATATTATAACACAAGGGGAAAAACAAACAAAAAAAGAAAAAAAATCATCTGGGAAATATATTGTCTCCGTTTGGTAAAGTTTATAAAACATTTACCAACGGGTTAATTTCACAAACGGTCACTAAAACTTGCACGAAAATTACAAAATGGTCACTGAAGTTTAAAACTTTCGGTAACCGTCACTTAAGTTTCGAGTGGCGCTTTAAAAAAGGGTCATCGAAGTTTAAAAACTCGTAGAAACGGTCACTGAAGTTTAAAAACTTTCAGAAACGATCACTAAAATTTAAAAACTTGCAGAAATGGTCATTGAGAAGTTTCTAGGTCACGATGTGCAGGTCATGTCCGGGACACATCCGAGCCACGACAAAGAATAATGAAAATAAAATGTAGCTCGACGCTACAACCTATAAATAATAAAACTAGTATCACAACAAAACCAAACTTTCCACCGCCCAGTGCCACAAACAAACCCCTCCGCTACCTTTAGACCAGTACCACCGTTAGTCGAGGCTTGCGCCAGTGCATGGTAGTGGTGATCGTGATAATGAGGAGAAGGTGTTTGCACTGTAGATTGGTGGCCGGAGCCATGTTTATCGGACAGAACCATAAGCTCTAGCTTTTGACACTTCTGGCAATGTTCTTCAGCTCCACTGATGACGAAAATGGACCTGATTTTTCTAGTGAAATTGTAGTTTCCCCATCGTGGAGTTATTTTATTAGATTGGCGTTGTTGTAGATTTTGTAGTCTTCCTCAGTCACTTCCAGCACTGAATCAGCCTTGGAATCATACTTTGGAACTAAACAATCCCCAATCTGAAAATTAGTTTTCTCAGCCCATTTGTTGAACTCGTCAACAGAAGATGGAAATGCCCATAAATTATTTTCACCGCCTATTACGAACTCTCTTACTTCAGAAAGAACACACAGCCAAAACACGATGGTCAAAAATAAGAAAATATATTTGAATGAAGCCATTTTAAGCGAAAAACTGAGAGATTTTCAAATAAAATTTGAGTAATTTTGTAGAAAATAGAATAGAATGGTTTAGGGTTTAGCGTTTAAGGTTTCGGGTTCAGGGTCCAGGGTTCAAGGTCTAGGGTCCAGCGTTGGTTTAGGGCTTAAGGTTTAGGGTTTAGGATTTTTGGGACATGGTGTGCAGGACACATCCAGGACGTAGCCTTATTTTCAGTCATTTCTAGGCAGTTTCTGGGATACTGCGTACAAGCCATGTCTAGGACGCGTCTTTGCTACGGCAGGGACGCAACCTGATTTTTAGGCATTTCTCAACAGTTTGTGGGCACAGTGTGCAGGCCATGTCCGGGACGCGTCCTGGCCGCGGCAGGGATGCAGCCTAATTTTCATGCATTTCTAGCCAGTTTGTGGGCACGGTGTGCAGGCAATGTTTGGGACGCTTCCCGGCCACATTAGGGACGTAAGCAGATTTTCAACCAAATGAAGGAAGCATGATGTGCAAGCTATATTTGGGGCGCAGGTACGTCCCAAGCATTCTGGGCAGTTTTTGGGACATGGTGTGCAGGACATATTTGGGACAAGTCATGGCCACGTCAAGGACGCAACATGATTTTCTGGGATTTTTCAACAGTTTCTGGGCATTGTGTGCAGGCCATGTCCACGACGAATCCTAGCCGCGATAGGGATGTAACCTAATTTTCAAGCATTTCTAGGCAATCTCTGGGTCACGGTGTACATGCTATTTCTAGGACGTGTCCGACCCACGGCAGGGACGGAGCCTGGTTTTCAAGCATTTTAGGGCTATTTTTGGGCACGATGTGTAGGCCTTGTCCAGGACACGTCCTGATTGTGGTAGGTACGCAACCTGATTTCCAGGCATTTCTAGGTAGATTCTGGGGCACGGTGTGCAGGCCATGTCTAGGACACGTCCTGATCGTGGTAAGTATGCAACCTGATTTCCAGGCATTTCTAGGAAGTTTCTAGGGCACGGTGTGAAGGCCATGTTCGAGATGCGTCTTGATCGCGGTAGGTATGCAACCTGATTTCCAGACATTTCTAGGTAGTTTTTGGGCGCGGTGTGTAGGCAATGTCCAGGATATAGCAGGAACGCAACTTGATTTTCAAGTATTTCTAGGTGATTTTTGGGAAGCAGTGTGCAACCCAGTTCGGGACGCGTCCTAATTGTGGCAGGGATGCAGCCTGATTTTTAGGCATTTCTAGGCAGTTTCTGGGATACTGTGTGCAGTGAATGTCCAGGATACAGTAGGGATGCAGCCTGATTTTCATGTAATTCTAGGTAGTTTCTGGGAAGCGGTGTGCAAGCCATGTCCAGGATGCGACTAGGCCGCGACAAGGAAGCAGCCTAATTTCCAGGCATTTCTAGGCAGTTTCTGGGACATGGTGTGCAAGCCATGTCCAGGACGCGACAGGGACGCAACCTAATTTTCAGGCATTTGTAGGCAGTTTCTAGGACACGGTGTACAGGCTATGTCCGGGACACGGTAGGGATGTAGCCTGATTTTCAGACATTTTTGGACAATTTCTGGGCACTGTGCCCAGTCCATGTTCGAGATGCATCCTGGCCACGGTAGGGATGCAGCCTGATTTTTAGACATTTCTGGGAAGTTTTTGGGCACAGTGTGCAGGACATGTCTGGGACGCAGCCTGATTTTTAGGCATTTCTAGGCAGGTCATATCCGACACACGTCGAGGACAAAGCCTGATTTTCAAGTATTTCTAGACAGTTTTTGGGCAAAGTGTACAGGCCATGTCCAGGACACGTCCTGGCTAGGTAGGGACGCAGCCTGATTTTCAGGCAGTTTGTCGGCACGGTGTGCAAGCTATGTCCGGGCAACGGTAGGGACGCAGCCTGATTTCCAGGCATTTCTAGGTAATTTTTGGGTCATAGGGTTTAGGGTTTTAGGGTTTTTTAATTAATTTAGAATTAAAAGCAGGAAGCATATACATGACAAAGAATAATGAAAATAAAATGTAGCTCAACGTTACAACACATGAATAATAAAACTAGTCTACACAACAAAACCAAACTCTCCACTGTCGCTGTGCCACAAATAAACCCCTCCGCCGCCTTCAGACTAGTACCATCATTAGTCAAGGCTGGCGCCGGTGGATGGTAGTGGTGATGTTGATGATGAGGAGAAGGTACCTGCACTGTAGATTGGTGGCCGGAGCAATGTTTATCAGACAGAACCATAACCTTTAGCTTTTGACCCTTCTTCCAATGTTCATCAGCTTCACTGATGAAGAAAAATGGACCTAATTTTTTCAATGAAATTGTAGTTTCTCCATCATGGTGTTATTTTATTGGATTGGCGTTGTTACAGATTTTGTAGTCTTCCTCGGTCACTTCCAACACTGAATCAGTCTTGGAATCATACTTCAGAACTAAAGAATCCCCAATTTGAAAACGAGTTTTCTTAGCCCATTTGTTGAACTCGTCAACAAAAGATGGAACTGCCCATAAATTATTTTCACTGCCTACTATGAACTCTCTTGCCTCAGAAAGAATACCCAGCAAAAACAGGACGATCGAAAATAAGAAAATATTTTTGAGTGAAGCCATTTTAAGCGAAAAATCGATAGATTTTCAAATAAATTTTGAGTAATTTTGTAGACAATAGAATAGAATGGTTTAGGGTTTTTTTTTTTTTTTTTTTGGTAAAGACATCCACACATCCTTAATGACTTTTTAGGGTTCACCAAGGAAGGTCGATGGGAGTTAAGGATTCCCCAACCATATTTATTTCATAAAAATCAAGAGTACACGGAAGGAGGGGGGCATGAACCTGACCTCCAAAAAGCGGTGATGCAACAACTGAATATAATAAAATGAAAGCAATAAACGAGGAAGCACTACTTCCCTATACAATAAAAATAATTTAATAATCATAGCCTAAATTATTACTTCCCTATACAATAAAGAATAGCCTAAATTACGAACCTCTGAAACTGGGCAATCCATGTCTGTCGATCCGCACTATCGCCCTAATATGTCGAGGCAGTTCTAGTGGTCCATACTCTAGATAGTGCCGATGATTCCAGCCTTCTGTAGCAAGAGAATCAGCAACCTAGTTGCCTTCTCTGTAGATGTGTGAAACCGTATCTCTATCGAAGTAGATGAGGTCTCTGATCTGTCTAAGAATACCCTGAATTGACCATGGTCCTCCACCATTGGTAATGTAGTGAATAGCCAATGTTGAATCTGCCTCGAGCCAGATAGCTTAAATCCCAAGTCCTCTGGCCAATAGAAGCCCATCTAGTATGGCTCTGAGTTCAGCCTCCAAAACGAAACATGGGCCATACGATGCTGAGAATGCCCTGATACAGTATCCTGCGTGGTCCCTAATGATGCCTCCACCACTTGCAAATCCATCTTTGACGCATCCATCAGTGTTGATCTTGTAGGATCCAACTGGTGGAGTGCGCCAAACAACCATAATAGGTGGTGGTGGGAGAGGACGGGTCAAAGAAATGCCAAAAAAAGGTGCAAGTGTCACATCTCCTCGCCAATGCTCAACTCGGAATAGTCCTCCCATATGAAGAAAGGAGATCATGCGGTAGACAATAGAAGTAGCAGCAAAACCCCGTGGAAGATGACCACCATCAAAGAAATCCAATACCGCCCTGTAAACATCCTCCTGAATGATATCCCAGCAATGCTGGAAGAATAGGGATGAGAAGCCATCCGGACCAGCGACACTGTCAGCATCAATACTGAAAACTGCCTCCCGTACCTCATGAATCAAAGGGGGACGATTTAGTGCCAGATTATCGTCCACCGTCAATAGCCTCGGAATGACATCAGAACGGATGTGGTCCAAGGGTTGTGGAGGAGCAGATAAGAGATCCTGGTAGAAAGCAACAACCGAGTTCTGAATATCAGTAGGAGTAGATAACACTTCCCCCGCCTATGTCATGATAGACCTGATACGCGATTTGATCCTACGCCCCTGAACCATCGCATGAAAATATCGAGTATTGTGATCACCCTCACATGCCCAACGTGAACCGGCCTTTTGCTTCCAAAAGCCCTCCTCAATAGACAAGGTCCGGTTCAAAACTGCCTCGGCCTGATGTAGTAAGTTACGGTTCTCCGGTGTAGGATCTCTATCATATATTATCTCAGCCTCATCAACCCCGACCTCAGTATTGCGCACCCGCTGGAAAATATCTCCAAATACATGTCGGTTCCACCGGCGCAGACCCTGTTTCAGCCTGAAGAACTTCTCCCAAAGAGCGGTCATCCCTGTGAGATGAGTAGGGAGCGACCACTTCTGGGAGACAAAGGCTAAAAAATCATGGTGCTTGGTCCAAACATTGAGGAATCTGAACGGTCTAGGCCCCAAATCATCATCAGAAACCCACTGAAGCAGTAAAGGAGAGTGATCGGATGAAGTCCGATTCAAGTGTCTCACTGTAAGCTGTCGAGAAAAAGCTGCAGCTGTAGAATTAATAAGTACCCTATCCAATCTCTTTCTAACCCGTCCATTGGTCCAAGTATATCAGTTTCCAATGAAACCCGCATCCTCTAAACCACAGTCTAACATCATATCAGAGAAAGCAGTAGTGCCACGATTACGGGTATTATGACCAGTGCGCTCTCCATCATGTGTAATAACATTAAAGTCTCCTCCAACTAGCCAAGGATAGTCCATATCGAGGGAGATGTGGTGAAGACCCGCCCACAAATCTCTCCTGATAGCAGCATCGCATGACGCATAGACTGGAGTCAAATAGATAGCACGCGCTAGTCTGGGATCCTCAACTCTAACGTGAAGAAACTGGGGATGATCAACAATAACAGTAACATTAGTCCCCGAATTCCAGAAAAACCAGATCTTATTCGATTCATTCTGAGCTCCCATGTCGAAGCCCAGATAGCGTCGTGTATATGCAAAATTCTACCGCAAAACAAAAGGCTCCAATATAACTAGAAGATAAACCTGATGAAGCTGTATAAGTTTCTTCAGGCGCCGACGAGTAGCTACACTAGCTACACCTCTCACATTCCAAATGATGGCATTCATAGGGAAGGAGAATGTGAGGAGGTATCATGTGACTGACTCCGAGTGATCCTTCTGCTCGGATGTGGAGTATCAGTAGCCCGTGGGTGTCTCTTCCGAACAACTGGGATAAATCCATCATCCTCTGTCCTCTCATCCAAACCCACCAAGTCATCAGAAGAAGATCTTCGAAAAGGTCCCTGCTGGTGAACCTCAATCTGAGGTGAGCCCTCTGTATCTGAATGCGCTGACTGCAAAGATAGAATAGATGCCTCCACATTTTGATAACAAACAGGAGGAGAAGAAGTGGAAATATGTGCCTGAGCCCTACCCGGTGTCGGGCCTGGAATGGAAGAAGCTCTGCTGACTGTGTTTGCTGTAGAATTCTGTGTCTGTGGCCTCTTCAACATCTCATCCAACATAGGATCATAAAATGGAGTGATAGGTGGACTGATAGCCTGAGCAGGAGTTGAAGGAGTGGTAGATGTAACTGGATCTACAACAATGATAACTGGTAAGGCTGTAGCAGAGGGAGGAGCAACTGGAGGAACAGATGGCTGGGTCTGAGCATGTGAGCTAGTGCTAGTAGGTAATGGGACTGATGTGATGACAGTGGACACAGAAAGCGGAATCTGAACTCCAGATGTGCTAGCATCGTGTTGCCTCTTCTGATCTCTCTGAATTGGAATCCATCGTTTAGGAGGCTCAATAACGACCTCCTTTCCTTTACCCTTATCCTTGGCCATCTCTATAGTAGGCTTAAGAACAGGGTCAACAACTAGAGCAGGTGGTGGTGCAGGGCGGCAATGCTCCTCAGTATGATCAAAATGTCTGCACCGAAAACAGTAATCTGGCTTCTTCTCATACACAACTGTTTGCCAATATCCTCCGCACTTTTCACGCTGAATCCAAATCCTATCTGGAAGCTTATACTCCAAATTAACCTCAATACATACCCGTGCCTCACTGGGTCGTTGTAAATCTGAAGTGGCCTCATCAATACGTAGTGGGATTCCAATGGCCTTAGCTAGGGCAAACAGACTACTCTTTGCCCGAAAGTGAATGGGCAATAATGGGAATGAAACCCAAATAGGGACAATAGGAGTCTCATGCTTAGGATTAAAGCTGGGCGTCCACTTAAAAACACGCATGAGACAACCATCGATGTACCAAGAGGGCTTAAGAAATAAGCGTGAGTAATCATCCTCATGTGCCAAGTGTATTAGAATATGAGTCGCATCAATAAGTCCAATCATGTAATCACCACAAAAACCAAATTTTTGAAAGCTATCACGTACCTTAATCATGGAGGGCTTGCGACGTGAGAATTTGCCAACAAGAGTAAATTTATACGGTTCAGAAAGAAAGTCCTCTTCTTCCTCGGTAAAGGCAACTGGCGGCTCTCCCATATGCATTAAAGGTTCCTTAGAGGTGAACCTGTGGTCATTGGAGTCCGGTGGGGCTTGCAAAACCTGTGCAAAAGACTTCCGTTGGCTGCGCTCAGTTTGAGAGACTACAGATTTACCGGAAAGTGCAGCCGCATATGACTTCCTAGCTTGATTAATTACTGTAGGGACTTCCCGTGGTAAATCCGATGATGGAATTGGGTCCGTAACAAAATTCCCCAAATTCTGCTGAAGTGTCACCGGCGCGTGACCACCACGCGCCGCCGTTGACCAGCCGTTGACCGGCGGAGATTTTCCAACGGTGTCATAAAATTATTATTTTTCACAGGTAGATGCGAAATTTCATGCTGATCATCACGGTATGTTCCGTTTTCCGAAACGAGTTCAGGATTGGCCGGAATCTGCGATTTTCCGATCGGCTGGCCGTAACTTGCGATCGCCGGTGAGGGCGCGTCCGACGTCGGAATTGGACCATTTTCTAGATGAAGGTTCTCCTTCTCATGGGTAATCAGATGATATGGCGCGTGCATATATCTGAGCTCTATAGAGGGTTTAATTGAAAAATCAGAAATCGGCCCCTCGGGATTCGATCTGCCAATTTCGGGCGATTCAGATGCAATCTCCACCACCCCTAGGGTATTCGGCCCTTCTGGAATCATTGGTGATGTTCCCAGATCCTGAATCACTACAGAAGATGAAGTTTTGGTGACATTGGGAAACGTGCCATCATTGTTCTTATTAGAATTCAATCCAATCGCTTCCAAAATAGTAATATTTTGATTTTGTTGTTGATCTGGTGTTGTTTGGGGTTGAAATCCACCGGGTAAAGGTGGAATATCGGGTGGTGGGTCGAGATTTTTGAAAGTCTGTGCTTTGTCTCCCATTCTAGAGAGAAGGGAGAGCGTTTTGGGCTAAAGAGAGAAAGTGTTATAGAATGGTTTAGGGTTTAGGATTCAGGGTTTTAGGTTTAGGGTTCGAGGTCCAGGTTTCAGGATTCAGGGTCCGGGGTCTAAGGTTCACGGTTCAGGGTCCAGGGCTTAGGGCTTACGATTTAGGGCTTAGTGTTTAGGGTTTAGGGTTTTTGGGACACGGTGTACAAGACATGTCCAAGACGCGGCCTTATTTTCAGGCATTTTGATGTGAACCCATGTAGCGCGATGACTACCAAAGCCACAACAAATTGAGAATCAAACCCAAGAAAGCCAATGACAAGGTTTTGGATTAAACCCAATAAACTGGAACCAAGCTGCCTGAATTGCCGAAAATATTTGGATATCTTAATTATGCAATTTAAATGAATCTCACTCGGTTGATTTGAACGCCACAAGATTAATCTTGATAAGTTCACAAGTTGTTCAATGAAGAATGAGAGAGCAATTAATGCCTCATGAATAATATTCAATAATATGAGAGTTGTAATGTTTTACAATAAGGAATAAAGTATTTATACTATTCTAGAGAACCTAAGTAAACTAGGAAAAATATCTAAGAATAATGCAAAATTCGTCCACAATAGCCTAATATGGTAAAAATCTACTAATAATGAAATTCTA